GGTCGGATTCATCAATCTATCAATTTTCAGGATACGAGGACACGGATTAAAAGTGTCCAAATATTGGACACGGTTACTTGGACACTTTGAAAAGAGAGAAAAATTTGTAAGTTTTTTTTTTATGTTTGAGACATTAATCATAAAACTAAAAAAAATATATATCAATTGTACTTTTTTATAAAAAATTTATAATTATTACTGCATTTGTTTGCCTCATTTGATTGGTGGCATGTCATGGCTATGCATTCCCCTGTTACTGCTGTTTTATGGAACCTGTAAATAAGAAATTCTGAACTGTAGGGCTTCTTTTGTATACCCAAGGGCGGGTTTGGGCTTGGGCTAATATGCCTCTGTATGTGCATCTTGGCATTTGGGCCTGTACAAGTAAAAGCACAATTAAAAAGGATAACTAATTCAATATGGGCTAATATGTCTTTGTACGTGCATTTTAGTCATGGATTGATGTTTGGGTTTTGGGCCTGCCCAAGTCCAAAGCACAATTAAAAAGGAAGCCCATCCAATGTACACGGTATTTATAAGAGTACTGTAAAAAGCAAAGTTACAGCTGTAACCCACCACAGTAATGCTTTACAGCTGTGTCCCATCCCTTATCTTTTCAGATCCAAATAAACAAGTGTTAAGTTATTAACAATTGCGTGAAACCACGCTCAAGATGGCACAAAAAATTGCACAAAAAATTGCACAAAAGGCAGCGCGTGCTGGTTCACAAACAGCAAGTTGTCTTCAACCTCCAGACCACCGATCCGAACCAGAACGCCATTGTTAAAATAGAAAGCTTCGTATGGCTACAGATTTAACAAAAAAACACGAAAAAAATTCATGATCCTTCACAAGCATCAAACTACACATCATTTTATGCATTTTCTTGGTCAGCCGTATCCGATTGAAGAATGGAGGGTCGGGCGCATCTCCCGTGTCCGTGTCCGTGTCGTGTCGTGTCGACACGGGCACTCTGGCCTTCACTGACGAGTTCAGGTAACACGGGCTAAGATTTATGAGAGGAGTTAGGGTGGGGAGGGATGCGGCTAGTCAGTTATAGGTCTCTCATTTGATGTTCGCTGATGACACCTTAGTTTTTTTGTGATGCGGAGGTGTCCCATATGAGATTCGTGAGATGTGTCTTGATTTGGTTCCAAGTTGTCTCTGGCCTAAAAGTGAATGTGAGGAAGAGTGTTTTGGTGCCAGTTGAGGAGGTCTTTGATATTGCTGCGCTAGCTGAATGTGTTGGTTGTTGCATTGGGGTCATTTCCTATTTCCTATTTGGGCTTGCCTCTTGGATCGTCTTCAAGGAGGATGGGATGTTGGGATCCTGTGGTGGAGAGGTTTGAGAGGCGGATGGTGGGATAGAAAAAGCAGTATGTTTCGAAGGGTGGAAGGGTCACTTTAATGAAAAGTACATTGTTAAGCCTTCTTACCTTTTTCCTCTCTCTTTTCCAAATTCCCTCTTCTGTGGTGGAGAGGATTGAGAGGTAGCAACGAAATATTTTTTTTGGGGGGGGGGGGGGGGGGGGGGGGGGGGGAGATCAGTTCAAATCTGCACTCCAGTAATGGGTGTTGGTTTGGGTATTAGAAGATTGGCTCCCTTCAACAAGGCTCTCTTAGGGAATTGGCTTTGGCGTTTTGGGATGGAAAAGCTCAGGCTATGGAGAACGGTGGTTGCGAGTCGTTTCGGGGAAGGGAGTGGAGGTTAGACTTCCTTTGAGGTACGCTATCCATTCGGAAAGGGTATGATGATTTTTCTAAACACATAAGATTTCGACTAAGAGATGGAAGAAGGATTCGTTTTTGGGAGGATGTTTGGTGTGGGGATCGCTCTCTAGCTCTCACCTTCCCCTGTCTCTTCATGATTGCCACAGATGGACAGGCCATGGTGGTTGATTGCTATCACCTTGATAGTGGAAGATTGTATTGGGATGTTCGTTTCAGGAGGTACCTTCAGGACTAGGAGATTGAGGACACCTGTGGTTTGTTAGACTTCTTGCATCGTCAGGAGATCATGGGTGGAGTTTCTGATTCCTAGAGTTGGGTTCCTTCATCTCAAGGGCATTTTTCTGTTCGGACATTCTTTAGTTGTCTGAGTGAGATGCCAAGGGCTCTGTTTCCATGGAAGACAGTTTGGCGGTCCAAAGCCCATTTAAAGATGGCTTTCTTTGCGTGGACAACTGTCTTGGGAAAGATCTTAACTCGGGGTAATTTGAAAAGAAGAAATCAAATTGTAGTCAATTGTTGCTGCATGTGCCTTAGAGATGAGGAGACGGTTGATCACCTCCTTTTACATTGTCATGTGGTCAGGGATTGTTGGGACTTGTTGTTCAAATTATTTGGGGTTCAATGGGTTATACCCAGGTCTCCTAGGGGTTTTATCGAGGCTTTGAAAGGGTGTATAGTGGGGGTCTCTATTACATGGACTCTTCAAAAGTAGTGAAGTACCCGTGTCAGACACATATCCCTCAGACATGGGTATGGGATATGTGTCCGACACTTTTGATTGGTCATGTACTTAAAAAACATATCCGATCATTCAATTACATTATATTATTACTTTACTTATAAAAAAAAAAAAAAAAAAAAATACATTATATTATTACTTTAAAATGAGTTAAATGCCTATATTGAACATTATATTAGATAAAAACACTACTTTACTCTAGAAAATAAAATAATTAATAAAATGAATATTTAGCCGTATCTGTGTGTCCTTCTATTTGGAGATTTGACACGTCCGACGCATGGATATATACCTGTGTTCGCACCCGTACCCGAGTCCATGTAACATAGGTGGGGGCCCAAGTCCAGGACATTTGGAGGTCTACGCCTTTTTGCGTTTGGTGGTGATTATGGCTTGAAAGAATTAGGAGATCCTTCGAAGGAAAGAAAACTCCTATTCATGCACTAAAATCTCTGTTACATGGACTTTTCAAAAGTAGTGAAGTACCCATGTCAAACACATATCCCTCGGACATGGGTATGGGATATGTGTCTGACACTTTTGGTTGCACATGTACTTAAAAAACATAGTCAATCATTCAATTACATTATATTATTACTTTAAAATGAGTTAAATGCTTATATTGAACATTACATTAGATAAAAACATTACTTTACTCTAGAGAATAAAATAAAATAATTAATAAAATGAATATTTAGCCGTGTCCGTGTGTCCTGTTTGGAGATTTGACACGTCCGACTCATGGATACACACCCCTGTCCGACACCCGTACCCGAGTCTATGTAACATAGGTTGAAATTCTCCATTATTACCACTCTTTTTGTCGGGTTGTAGGGAGAAACTATAGACCTTTAGAGGAGATAGTTGATTTTTTGGGCTCATTGAGAGTTTAACAGCCCCATTTGGCCTTGCATAGTTCTCTTGGGATGTGATCCAATTTTGATAGCTTTCTAATACATTCTCATTGATCAAAAAAAAAAAAAAAAAGGAGTGAAGATTTTGAAAATTTTGAAGCCAATTTCATAATCTTCATTCGGGTATGTTGATTAAAATCAATATTTCAATCTAATCATAGTATGATTCATACAAACATGTGGAAAACAATAAAGAAAAAAAAAATGCTTCTGGATCCATATTTCTTTTATGAAATGAAATTTTTTATTTTTTTTAAGGTTATCAAATTATATTAAACCAAAGTTATTATTCCCCAGACATTCTACATTGAGAATATAGCACTAATGCCACTAGTGTCAATTACCCACAATACCAAGGTTTTGATCTTACAAGATCCCCACTCATTGGTAAATCAAAGTCATAAAGACTAGAAACAAGGGTCTGTTATTTTCTCGAGATTAAGAGTTATTTACTTTACAAATGGTAAGAATATATCATCCAAGACATTTAATGAAAATAACATATCAACCATGAACATAATTTAAGATTATAATGTTGTGTTGATCTACATCTCATGTGCATGGATCTCACTTTACATGCCTAGATCACCCATTTAATAATCTATGGGCCTAAATCCATCTCATGAATTTAGGTGTGCAAACACAATTTACTCACAGTATGCATAAACTGACATTGAATACTACACATTTGTTATGAAAATGTCTACCAAGTTTTTCTTTAAAGGCATACAATCCCAACAAATATGAGCCAAATATGAGCAAAATTTATTCTTTCCCTCAGCAAGTCTACATAAACTTATTCTATTTACTAGATATATAGCTTAATTATTTTGCATCACTATTTAAGAAGTATATTATAAAGCTGGACCCATGTTGGAAATATTTTTTTTTGGAAAGTCCCATATCGGAACTTTGTTAAGAGCATCCTCAAGCAATTTCATTAAATTCTTACCAAAAAATGCATAGGCCCTAAAGAGAAATGAATTATTTGAGAGGACTTAACCAATCCTTCTTGATCATATAACATCATAAGTAATTCTGTTGTCAATAAAGTACCCAACCAGACAGAAGTTCATCTGAAATTCCTTAGGAGGATTAATTGAATTCTAATAGACCATCTGCTGCCGCAGGTTCAATTAAATTCTATTTGAACATACCATCATCTTCAGTAACATATTACCATTGATAATTAATTACATGGTCACATTACTTCTATACCAAACTCAAATGCCATAAATAGAACAAGTAAAACTGATTTGACTTTATATATTAGGCAGTTTATTCAAAGAAAAAGAGAAAAGAAAGAAGTCTGTGGAGCGCCAATATAAGAAATTCTGGTTCTTTTTCTTCTTCCTTTATCCCCCTTTTCCCGTTAAGGTTTAGGTAGGAGGAAAGAATTCAATCGAATGTGCCTTCAATGGCAATAAATGTTGGATGAGATGGATACAAACTCATAGGCTCGTAGGCAAGAAAAATATGTTCTGAAAAAGCAATTCAGAAAAGGACACGCTTTTAAAGAAACATAGAATAATTTTGGATTAGCATTTTTAGAAGCTATGACTATCACATAAAAGGACAATTACAGCAATAGAAATAAAGTATGAGAGGAACATCACCTCAGGAGATGGAGAAACTAGCAATTCACGTCCAAGAACAAGATCCAGAGGGAAGTGCACAGGTTTATGCAATTTGGTGCTTCCTTCACTTCCATAGCTAAAACGCATCAAGTGCAATATCATTATCTCAGAAAGCTCGAGTATCTTAACAAATTTGCTAGCATTCACCACCTCAGCCTGAAATTGTTGAAAGTATCTGTATCATCAGTATGGTGAAGTCTTTCTCCCAAAGAAAACCATGGTTACATAACGTTTAAAAAAGAAAAAAAAGAAAAGAAAAGAAAAAAGAGAGATACACAAAGAGCCGTGGTGTTATCTTTAGTACAAGCAATAGCCTAGAAGTCTAACTGAATTTTGTTCGTCCTCACTTCCATCCCTCTTTAACTGATGAGTGACAATAGGTGCACTAATTTACTGAACTAAGATAATTTGAGCAATAACAGTTTGGTCCCATTATAATACTCCCTCTCTCAATTTAATTGTCCATCTTTCCTTCTTGGGTTGTCCCAAAATACCTGTCCCACTTAAAAAGTTCAAATAAGATAAATGTATCTTTCCATAAATACCCTGAAGTTTTAAAAAATTTCCAAATTGATTATATGTGTGTATATATTTATATTCAAACATGAAAGGATAACTTGGCAATTTTAGAAGTGGACAACGCATTACTTGCATGTCCCTTTAAAAGTTTTACTCCCCAAAAGGGACATCTAATACGGGACCGAGGGAGTATCATATAATCTTCTTTGAATAGTACTCATTATGTTTTATTCATAGGATATAGTATTCACTGGTTGGATGGATTGAAAGGAATATATTAATATTATCCTAATATACAAAATGGATTGATTCCTACTAGGTGCAAACAATTCCTTGGGGGGGGGGGGGGGGGGGGGGGGTGGTGGGGGGGGTGAGTACTAACTAGGAAAAATATATATATACAAAATGCAGTGAACTGACAAAAAAATAGAGTAATAGCAATTAAACATGTTAACAAAAAATTGCTTACATTCTAAGCAAAATCTTGATTCTTGAAAGCACATAAAAGTTAGCAAAAGGCAGCTGACAGAGGAGCAAATACCCAGAAAACAAAAGCACGGTACCAATACTGAACTTAAAACTATAAAGGTAATATACATTAAATCAAAGCTAGAAGGAAGTTCTAAAGTTGACAATTATAAGGGCAGTGCTCACAATATCTGGATGAATGCTAAACTATAGCCACAAGATGGAACAGAAAAAAAGTAAATCCATAAAAAAAAGAGGGAAAACCCGTCTACATTGGCAAGCAGAATTAAACCAGCGTTTACACAAATGAAACTTCCTCAGGAAGAACAAGAAGAAGAAGCAGAAGATAAGAAGAAATGAATCCTCTTGGAGTTTATGCTTTTGGAAGCCCAGGGACCTAACATACAAAGAGTCAAAGTAACCTATCGAGCCGTATCCAACCTTCCATATCTAAGAATGCAGAGAAATGACAAGCATCACATGAACTAAGGTATCATTTGGCTGGGACCAGATGGAAATAAACTGACATGAAATAAAAGACTGTTACCTTTCCAGCTGCAGATGTTCTGTACCCTTCTAGTGTCTCTGGTGCAGAAAACAAACGAAGTGCATCTTCTATGGAACAGATAGGATCCGGAGAAATATTAAGGTGGAGCAAAAGAAATGGTTGTATAGTAGCTGAGGCTTTACTACCTACTCGAATCAGAATAAAGAAAGGTTATCAATTTGAATTTAACTGCAGCATCCAAATGCTTGCTTTAAAACAAAACTTAAAAAAATAAATTAATAACATGGAGCTCATTCAACGAGTTCAAGAAGATTTGAACAGGATAATCTATCCAATGTAAAGAAAATCAAATATATGATTTCCAAAGTCAACCAGATGTCTAACTGGCACTGATATAAAAAATTTGAATTCAAGAAGCACCCCTGTGAACTTCTTGTTCTCAATCATCCAATAAACGTGGGAGAGAATTTGAAAAAGACAAATGCATGCTTAGGGCCCGTTTTGTGTGGTGGTTGTAATGAACAAACATTTTTATCAATATAACTGCCATCAAATTGTTAGTAAAAAGCATGTTAGGTGCCTGGTGATATGTTATAAAGTACTTTTTAATCAGTTGGGTAAAAGTACTGTTTAAAGCACTTTTATTATTAATTTTACAATAATGCCCTTTAATGACTTATCAAAAAATAATAATAATAATGCCCTTTAATGGAATGTTATTGTATTTGATAATAGGACATTATAAAATAATGGATAGAATTGTCTTACAAAAAATTAAAAGAATCAATCCTAAAATATAGAAACTCTATTCAGAAAGCATTTTTAACAGTTATAAATTTTAACTTCATTTAAAAGCCTTATTGAGCTAAAATCTCTAACACTTTGTTTTTTTCCTTTTTACCGAACACGTTTACAAGAATTTTTTAAGTGGTTCAATAACAATTCCAAGTGGGATTTTAGTATCACAAAGTTAATGTCAGATTCAGGATTTTCCTTTCTAAACTTGTGTTTTAATCTTGACTAGTAAATTCTTCAAAAATATACTGTCTTGATTTTATTTCCCTATTTTTGGGGTTTAGCCTTTTAGGTAAATGTATCATTAGAAAACACCTAAACAGGAGTGCATTCATGCACACATTATGTATACACTATTATAACTTGTAAAAAGCTATAGTCTTATCTCATCTAATAAACAGACAAAATAATCAAGCCAAAGGGAAGTGTTCCCAGTGGTTTAAAAAATGAAGGTAAAAAAAATTATAATTGAAAGTCCACATAGGAGATTCAACCCAATTAAAAGACCTATTCATTCTCACACCAAAGGCATAAAAAAGCAAGTTGACACACTTTTCATAGCCTCCTACCTGCTCAGCAACATTTCCGACCCCCCAGTAGTGCCGATGTCGACCAAAACATCATCAAATAGACTCCTAGTAGAATAAATACAAGACCCAATAGATCCTTGGTCAATGGACAATGCAACAGCAAGTTTTTCTCCTTTATGTTTTCAATAGTGAGGATCTTTTCAAAAGTCGCAATCCAAGCAAAATAGTAAACCTTGGTGGAAGCTACAGTACACCAAATGGCTTTCCAAATTCCAAGGGATCCTCTCACACTCTTCTCCGCGAAGGGCCCAATAGAATTATCTCAATTATCAGCTACAAGGCAACCCACTAACCCCACCATCCCACAAAGAGAGAGAGAGAGAGAGAGGTAACACCCACCGCATGGAGTCCTCCTCACTCAGCTACCATCTGATTATATAACAAGTTATATAAAGCTGAGATCTCATCCATCTCGCAATCCTAAGTGGTATGAGAAATAATAATCCCACACCACACCACTCCCTAGCAATACAAATGGCCTACAACACACTTGTAATTAAACCAGAATATAATTAGAAATGCTTTTATTTTAGGTAGTTGGTTGGAAGTTAGAGGTTATACGGTTCTACAAAATTTGACATTTGTAATACTTTTATTATTAAAAAGTATACTACAGCTTACAGGAGACATTCATATATTAAAAAATTTATGGAACCACTTTACGCGAGTTTTAAGATTTCATAATTTACAGCGATCATTCATGCACTATCATTTTAAATCTCCCATACAAAACTTATGGAACCAACTTGCATTTTAAAAACATATTGATCTCAATATTAAAATATTCTATTTGATATTCAACCACATTTGAAGCACTATCATCCACAACCGTGGACCTTTTTGATTTTTTTATGACTTCAAAACGGTTTTACAGTAGCCAATTGAAACAAAAGAAAAACCTACAAACTGAAATGGGCTGATCACATTATTATAATGAGATGAAAAAGACATCCCCAGTGCCCCAAAAGCGAAATGTTCTGTCTCATATGTGTTGAACTCAATGTATGATTACACATTCTTTGTATTCCTGCAGCCATTGTATTCTCAATTAAAAGTACTAAAATTAAAAGTACTAAATAGCAATTTAAACCATCTATATTGTCCAATAAAAGAACTTTTTGTCTTTTCCACATCTTTTGAAGACAAACCATCCTGGACAATGACACATAGGGGATAATAAAGGATGATCCCGGAAACGATAGCAACAATTAATTTGGTATTAGTTTAGGAAATCCTAGATAGTTCTACTCAAGATCCTTCGCATACAACTAAAACACTCGTCATAAATCCTACACAAAACAAATTGAACTCATTTCTAAGGCAATGTAAAAGAAAATTCAATAGTTCTTTTACAAGGGATGTCACAAGGTGACACCAAAAGCTTTTAACCAGTAATACTAAATCACATATCTTACCCACAGAATTTTTAATCTCTTATACGAAATTTGTTTTATATCTAGCGGCCGCGCAAGAGCAACTCCCAGTCTCAATCACAAGAGAAGAGAAAAGGAATAGACAAACGTACAAGGGAACAAACACTCGTAATAAAAGAACTCCAATTAAAGAGCTCAAAGCTCTTTCAAATACTCACAAGTGTTATTCCAGATCAAAACTGCACATCATTTTCTACCAGTAGATCTATTCCATAGACTTATGAAAATCCTATCAACACAATAACTTTCTAACATGAATCTGTCCCGCATAGTAGAGCATAATTGTAAATTTGTATCTCAAAATTTAGTGAGTTTAAAGCTCCTTCAAAAACACATTCTTACAATTCCATCTCAAAATTATCTCTCTTTCCCAATAGGTCTATTTAAAGGCTTCACAAAAATACTATTAACGCAATAACTTTCTAACATGAATCTAGCCCAACATGGTAATATAATACTCAATTTTCATTCCTAAAATCTTGAACTTTATAGATGCAATCAAATACAGCATCCTTAAGCAAACAAATACAGCATTCTTAAGCAAAAGACAGCATATATGACAAAATAATCAAATGAACCAACATACCACATCCATCACTTTTGATTTACTCAACTATATATTTAAGTATTTACAATAGTGATTTTGTGCACTTTAATCAAAGGAGTCATATTAAGATGTTAGCATGATAATGCTTATCAGTCATTCTATCATATACTAGCTCCCCATATAAAATGACCCAAATATCCACCCGTAATCAATTATGTATTTTCTCACTCTCAAATCACATCCTTGCAGCTACTTCCTTTCTGAGTATGCCTCTCTTCCCCTCTCCTATCAGTTCAAAGAGGATATAATTTTAAAGGGCAGAAGTCAACCTTGAGTTCAGCAATCACCTCATATTTGTTATCAGTTTTAGTCCCAGAGCTACAAAGTCATCAATAATCATCATCCAGCAAACCTAATCTGAAAAAGGATCAGATCTCTATGGCTATCACAGCAATTTAATAATTGAGCCAGCACACATTTTAAATTTATTTTTGCCTTGTTCTTCCAATAATGTGACTTCATGTAGACCAAAAAAGAAAAATAAAAAATAAAATTGAGGCAGAGTTATGGTAATGTCTCTTGATCTTTTATTCATTATATAAAATATTTTTAATTTCTATTTAGTTATTGGAAGAAAGCAATTTTCACCACTAAAAAGGAAGAAAAAAAAAGAATGAGTATCATTTTGAGTTTTCATACAAATGGTAGTGGTCACAAAATTACCTATCAAATAAGAAGAAGAAAAAAAATAGAGATCCCAAAACTTTCAAGCAAATATTAACATGATAGGAGATTGGTATTATGGAACCTGAGATCAAACTTTGACATGGTAGGAGAACAAGTGATTTTCCTAAACACCAGTATATATTTCACTCCTAAACAAAAGTTGAAATTAAAATTTATAATTTTTGAAATCTTCTAGTTTTGGACATGCAATATTTAGTTCTGATAATCAATTTATTATGTAGAATTCTAGGAAAACATGAAAAAAATAATAAATAAATTATAAAGGCCATACAAAATCTAAGAAAGAGATTTTGCTATTAAGTGCTATAATTATATTCATGTTACTGGTCAGATTTTTTAACCAATACATTCTAAAACAGATCATAACTTGGTTTCAATTACTTTTCCAACATTCATATACTTTCATAGATTTGGATAATTTTAATTTTTAAAATGGGTATGAATGACACTGCAATATAGGGCCTTGCAAAATTCAGTAGCATAAAAAAACAATGGTGACAGGGTTTTCTGCAAAGTAGTTTAGTGATGGATTTAGGAGCCAATGGATTTGGGGGCAGCAATGGGGTTTGTTAGGCATATTTTAATGGATTAAAGAGTGTTGTTGTCTTCAAACATCGAATGAGTATATCTGCAGAAGGTCGAAAGGAAATATAATACTGTTTTGATATTTAGTTTAAATACCTAAATACAAATATTTTTTCTTGAATGAAATAAACTAATAAAGAAATATAATACTATTTTTTTTTCATAATTAAATATAATACTATTAAAAAGTATGAGTTCTCAATTGACTACTAGAAAAATTTTATAATGTAAGTATTCATGTAACAATACAAAACAAGTATTTCCTACACGGTTAGTTGAGCTCTTTGACATGGCTAACTGGCTATGACCTTTTTCTCAATCTTAACCAAAAAATATGTTTTCAAGATTTCAGTTTTTCTATTTCTTTTCTTTTCTTTCTTTCTTTGATTTTTTTTTTGTTAGTTCATTCTTAAATAAGAAACAAAAAGGAAACAATACCAAGTGTGAAATGGAAAAATATGTTTTGGTTAGCTAAATTCAGAGTCTGT